AGAGATGGCAAGCACAGCATTTACCTACTTTGCTATCTTGACTAGAAATTCCGCAACATATTTTTTAGCAGAAATTTTGCAGCCCAGTAGGGAGTGGCATGATATATTCAAAGCAATGAAAGGTAAACCCTACAACCAAGAATACTCTAATCTGGCAAGGTTATCATTCGGAGTTGAAGGAGGATGAGTTTCCTAGACAAGCATGAGCTTAAAGAGTTCATCGTTACTAAACTATCATTAAAAGAAATGTTTAAAAGACATCTTTAAGTGGAAAAGAAAATGCCAAGTAAGAAAATATATGAAAGAAAAATCCTCACTGGTAAAGACAAACATATAGGTAAAGGTAGTAGATCAACCCCTTATAAAGCTAGTATGAAGGTTAAAATTTAAAAAAAAAAGTAATATCATCTATATCTACAATAATAAGTCAAGGGGTACACATACAAAAAAGGTGAAATATGACATCAAAGACATAAAATGAGGGTGATAAACATGTAGTGCTTTCAGAATGCTTTCGAACGTAAGTAACCATCAACTTAAAATAGACTACTATATACATAGTATGTTATACATGGGTCTCATGCAACAAAAAACAAAAACTTACAATAGATATACAGGAAACAAATAGAAAGGAACCCAGACATAACACTACAGAAAGTCACTAAATCACAAAGGAAGAGAACAATAGAAGAAAGGATTAAAGACTTACAAAAACAACCAGAAAATAAAGAACAAATGACAATAAGCACATACTTATAAATGATTATTTTAAATGTATATAGACTAAATACTCTAATCAAAAGACATAGGGTAGCTGGATGGATTAAAAAACCAAAACCAATACATATGCTGCCTACAAGAGACCTCAGACATAAAGACACACACAGACTAAAAGTGAAGTGATGTAAAAAATATTCCATACAAATAGAAAAGAATAAGATATCTGGGGTAACAATACTTTTATCAAACAAAGTAGACTTTAAAACAAAGATTATAGCAAGAGAAAAAGAAGAGCATTACATAATGATAAAGGGCTCAATCCAGCAAGAGGATATAACACCTATAACCTTCTATGCAACCAACATAAGAGGTCCTAAATAAATAAATTAATACTAATAAGACATAAAGCGAGATATTGACAGTTATATAATAATAGTAGGAGGTTTTAACTCTTCAGAAAATCAACAAGGAAATACTGGCCTTAAACAACACATTAGATCAGATGGACTTAGATATATAGAGAACATTCTATACAAAAGACAATAGAATACACATTCTTTTGAAGTGCACATGGAACATTCTCCAGGATAGATCACATGTGAAGCCACAAAACAAGTCTCAATAAATTTAAAAAGACTGAAATCATATCAAGCATATTTTCCAGCCAACACCATATAATATTAGAATTCAACTACCAGAAGAAAACTGGAGAAAAACAAACACATGGAGGCTAAATAGCATGTTACTAAACAACCAATGGGTCAATGAAGAAATCAAATAGGAAATCAAAAATTACCTTGAGACAAATGAAAATGGAAATATAACATTGCAAAATATATGGGATGCAGCAGAAGCAGTTCTAAGAGGCAAGTTTATATCAATACAAGGAACCTCAAGAAAAATGTCAAATAAACTTTCTAACCTCATGTCTAAGGTAAGTAGAAAAAGAAAAAAAGTCTCAACATTAGTAGAAGGAAGGGTATGATAAAGAACAAAGTGAAAATAAATGAAATAGAGACTAAAAAAAACAATAGTAAAGATAAATAAAACTAAAAGCTGGTTCTTCAAAAATATAAATAATATTGATAACTCTTTAGCCACACTCATTAAGAAATCAAGAGAGAGGGCCCAAATAAATAAATATGAAGGAGGAGAAGTGTTAACTGACACCACAGAAATACAAAGAATCATAAAAGATTACTATGAACAATTGTACACCAATTAATTGGACAACCCAGAAGAATTGGATAAATTCCTAGAAACATACAATATTCCAAGACTGAATCAGGAAGAAACAAAACCAGAACAGATTGATTACAAGTAACAAAATTGAATCAGTAATCAAAAAACTCCCAACATACAAAATTGCAGGGAAAGATGGCTTCACGGCTGAATTCTATAAAATATTTAAAGAAAAAAATATGAAAATGCCTATACTTCTGAAACTATTATAAAAAATGAAGAGGAAGGAATACTTCTAAAATTCTATGAGAGCAGCATTACTGATATCAAAAGCAGACAAAGACACTACCAAGAAAAGAGAGAGAGAGAGAGAGACGAAAGAAAGAAAGAAAGAAAGAAAGAAAGAAAGAAAGAAAGAAAGAAAGAATTACAAAGCGATATTCCTGATAAACAAAAATGCAAAACTTTTCAACAAAATATTAGCAAACCAAATTCAATAACCCATTAAAAGGATTATACAGTAAGATCAAATGGGATTTAGTTCAGGGATGCAATGATGGTTCAATATCTGCAAATTAAACAACATGATACACTACATCAACAAATCAAAGGTTAATAATCATACAATCATCTCAGTAGAAATGCAGAAAAAGCATTTGATAAAATTCAACATCCTTTTAATGATAAAAACTCTCAAAAAAGTGAGAATATAGGGAATATACCTCCACATAATAAGGGCCATATATGACAACCCTACAGCTATCATAATCATGAAAATCTGAAAGCTTTCCTTCTAAGATCAAGAAGATAAGGATGCCCACTATCACCACTTTTTATTTAACATATTATTAGACGTCCTAGGCACAACAGACAAGAAAAAAATGCCATCCAATTGAACAGCAGGAAGTAAAACGGTCACTATTTGTAGATGACATGATACTATATATAGAAAACACTAAAGAACCCCCACACACACAGACAAAAAAAAAACAATTAGAACTAATAAGTCAGTTTAGTAAATTTGCAGGATATATAATTGATGTACAGAAGTTGTTTGTATTTCCATACACTAATAATGAACTATTAAAAAGAGAAATCAAGAAATCTTTTCCATGTATAATTTATAATTACATCAAAAAGAATAAAATACCTAAGAATAAATTTAACCAAGGAGATGAAATACCTATACTATAAGACATTGATAAAATAAAGGTGACACAAATAAATAGAATGCTACATTATGCTCATGGATTGGAACCATTATTATTTTTTAAATATTTATATCGCCTAAAAGCAATCTATCAACTCAATGTAGCCCCTATCAAACTACCAGTAACATTTCTAACAGAAATATAACAAATAATCCTAAAATTTGTATGGAACCACAAAAGACCACAAATGGCCAAAGAAATTTTAAGAAAAAAAAAATTGGAGGTATCATGCTCCCTGATTTCAAACTATATTATAAAGCTGTAGTAATCCAAACAATGTGGTGCTGGTGAGTGTACACGCCACCAGCTTAGATCAATAGAACCAAATAGAGATCCCAGAAATAAACCCATACTAATATGGTCAATTAACCTAGGACAAAAGAGGCAAGAATGACAATGGGAAAAAGACAGCCTCTTCATTAAATTATGTTGGGAAAACTAGACACGTCAAAGCAGAAAATTAAAGCTGGACCACTTTCTTACACCATACACAAAAATTAACTCAAAATGGATTAAAAGCTTAAATGTAAGACAAGAAACCATAAAGGTCTTAAAAGAAAACACAGGCAGTAAACTCTTTGCATCAGTCGTAGAATATTTTTTTATATATCTCCACAGGCAAGGACAAAAAAAAAAGCAAAAATAAACAAATGGGATTATGTAAAATTAAAAAGCTTTTGCACAGTGAAGGAAATCATCAACAAAATGAAAAGACAACCCATTGAATTGGAGTCAAATTTGTAAATGATATATCACATAAGGGGTTAATATCCAAAACATATAAAGAACTCATACAACCCAAAATTTTAAAAAATTAAGAAAACAGTCCAATTAAAAATGGTGCAAGAACTTGAAGAGACATTTTTCCAAAGAAGATATGCAGATGGCCAAAAGACACAGGAAATGATGCTCAACATAACTAATCACCACGGAAATGCAAACCAATACTACAATGAGATATCGTCTTACAGCTATCAGAATGGCCATTATTAAAAGGAACAAATAACAAGTGTCAGTGAGGATGTGGAGAAAAGTGACCCCTAGTACACTGTTGGTGGGATTGTAAATTGGTACAGGCACTATGGAAAACAGTATGGATGTTCTTCAAAAAAAAATAAAAATAAGACACCATATGACCCAGCAATTCTACTTCTGAGTATTAATCCAAAGGAAACAACACAAATTTGAAAAGATATATGCACCTGTATGTTCACTGAAGCATTATTTACAATAGTCAAAATAAGGAAGCAACCTAAGTGTCCATCAATAGATGAATGGATTAAGAAAATGTGATATACACATATAAAGGAATATTACTCAGTCTTAAAAATGAATGAATTCTTGCCATTTGCTGCAACATGGACAGACCTAGAGGGTATTATGCTAAGTGATATGTCACACAGAGAAGGACAAATACCATATAATTTCACTTATATGTGAAATCTAAAGGACAAAATACATGAACAAACAAAACAGAAGCAGACTCATAGATAAGAGTACAAACTGATGGTTGCCAAAGGGGAGAGGGTGGGGGGGTGGCTGAAATAGGTGAAGGGTAATAAGAGGTACAAATTCTTAGTTATAAAATAAATAATTCATGGGGACATAATGTACATCACAGGCAGTATAGTCAATAATGTAATAATTTTCTATGGGGTCAGATGTATATTAGACTTAACATGGTGATCACTTCTTTAGGTTATAAATGTTGAATACCTAGTTGTACGCCTGAAACTAATATAACATTTTATGTAACTATACTTTAATTTTTTAAAAAAGAAGTTTTACCACGCCATAAGAACTTGAAACTCTCAGAAGATGAGGAAAAATTGAAAGACATGCTGCTTTTTGGACCCACTGCCTGAGCAACTTTGGACTTCTGCCATCTGCCACAGTTTGATGTTTGGGGAGAGCCATCTATGACTGCCAGAGGCTGGGTCAAGGAAGCAATATTTTTGTAAGGCTTTGTGTTTACCATAAGGGCTTTAGAAATTGAATGTACATAACACACTCTGGTGTCTAGTTGAACTTCTGCAAGAAATAGTTACCTTAGATGTTGGTCTGATGTCAGCACACAGAGCGTGGGCCAATCAAGTACCATGTGTCCTGCAGAATTTTAAGTTTTCTGGTGGCAGCATTTCTGGCACATGCTTATGCTTCTTGGGATTTCTTAGGCCCTTTTATTAATGCAACCTGAGATTCTCATATGTTTAGTCTCCTGAGGAAGCCAAGTAGTGTGCAAGGTATGGAGAAGGTACAGGGTCAAGAGAGAAATATTTGGTAACTTTGGGGATCTGTGTTTCCACTGGTGACGTGTGTCCTAAAAGACAAGAGATATAGAAGTGTCACCTGAGGCTGACCTCTCTGAGGCCCTAAGGATCTCTGGCCTGGACTTCAAAGAATCTTGAGTTCTAGACTATGCTCAGCTACTAACTCTGTGTAAACTTGGGTAGACAATTTCGCTTACCTGAGCTTCTCAGTTTCCTGAAACCTCTTCCAACTCAAACATTGTAATTCATGAAAGCTTAACAGTACTGGGAAGAGTCCTGCTTATGGTAATCATGGTTTTTAAGGAGAGAAATGAATAGGTTGGGTCAAGTTTGACCTCCCCAGGGAATATGAAATATTTTCTCCATTAAATGCATGTCTCCCAAAACAGTTTCCAGTTAGCAGGCCCTATGTGAGTCAGCCTTATGATGGGGCTGCATGGACAGGAATTCAGAATCCAGGCAGTAGGCAAGAATAGGCACACAATGCTTCTTACCTGTCACAGCAAAGTTGGAGTGTGATGCTCAGAGCTGGGTGTCACATTTGGGGAGGGGGCAGAAAGAGGCTGAGATGTTTCAGGGCTATGACCAGGATGTTGAGAGTACTCTGAACCTATGTCACATGAAGAAGAATAGAAGAGGATGAGTAGCCAGGTTAAGAAACCCAGGAAGGTCTGGGCTCTTGCTTTTAGCTTTCTTAAGGGCTTTTTTTGGGGAAACGAGTGACATTAAACCCAACCCAACAGATATAGTAGGGTTTGGTAAGTAGATTTAACAGAGGGACAGATTTCAAGTTAATAGAAGGATCCTGCTATTTCTTATAGGTGTAAGATACCTCAAGAAGTGTGGGTTTCTGTTGATAGTTTTTTTAGGAGAGGTCCAATTACCATTTGATAGAAATAATGTAGAGAGTTTCTAATAACAGGTGAATAATTATATCAAATAATCAGAGTACCTTTTAAGTCCTGAGAGTCAATCATTCATGTTAGTGATCCCAAGAGTCAATCATTGATATTAGTGGTCAGGTTAGTAGAAAGGGGATTTTATTCATGAGATCTGAAATTCCATGAAGGGTAATACCAATATACAACCATTTATAAGGCTCATCCTGCCCACTGGCCACTTGACAAATATCTGATTGCCTTCTTGGAGACTCCATTTTAAACCTATCACTTTTATCATTGTTTCCCCAAATTCAGATTTTATGTCTTTTTCAGTCTGCATACTCTTTTCTGTTTCTTCAAATGTAAATTAAACATTTGAATCAAATATCACAAGGTTGTTGACATTCAAATATGATAATAAATATAAAGCTGCTTGGTATGTTGTAAAGTGTCACAGAAAAATACAGGATTATTGTTGTTAGTGTTGTATTCACTGGCCTGAGTACAATTTGGTCTCTGATAGAATTTAAAGAAAGACAGATTCCTCAAGGTAGGAAGAGGTTGATGGTTAGCTGAGTGATTCTGTCTAGGGCGTCTAACTAATCACTGCTAACCTTACAACCACCTCTAGAATCATCTACTTTTCCCACTAGAGCCATGTGAAGAGAAAATGGAGAAAAACAGTTTAAGTTTAAGACATTTTGACGGTAAGACAGTGCAGAGCAAAACAGCAGGAGCTATATAAGAGATTGGGGTAGAGGGGCTGGGTGCAGCAGAATCAGGAATAAAACATAAAAACCAAAGTGAATCAAATAGTCAGTGTCTTAATACAGATGCTCTTCTAAGTGAAAACTTTTAGAAATGTGTTCTTTTGTACAATAGGGTTTAGGTAGTGCCACCTCAGGTTAGAGATCATTGTCCAAAGCCCGAGGGCTCTGAAAGAGTACCAAAGCCTCTACTTTCTTTGGCACAGGTATGATGGGTGGGTAGCTTCATCTCTGCAAATGGGTTGGCTAAAGAACCAGTATAATGGAAAAGGGAATTGGATCCCTGGAATGAATTCTGGGGCTGGCAGGAACAGCTGATATTCTTCCTTATACTCCCAGCGGTTTCTAGGAAACACATTGTTTACCTTTGGAAGAGAAGAAATAAATGACATTTCTTTCACTTGGGAGGAAAAAGATGTCTCTGTCTGATCATCGCTGGGCTTGAGCTTGTTTATTTATCAGCTGCTAGGAATCAACTGTTTTCTGAAGCCAAGTCCCAGATCATAGGGCCTATGTAATGAGAGAATGCATCATTAATGAACAGTGGATATCAACAGCACTGTGCCTAGTAACACCTCAGTACTCTTGATTAAAGCTCTTCTCAGTTGTTCTGCTCTCTCCTTTTTCTCTTCACCTTCTACTTCACTCTATTGTTTTCATTCCCCTCCTCTTCATGTTCTTTGTCTTTAATTTCTTAATCTCTCTTTCCTAGTTCTTTCTCATTATCCGTGATTTGCATTCCTTCTGTCTTCTCCTCCCTATCTGTGGGTTTCTTTTGCTTCTTATCATTCCCAGCTGGATCAGACTCCAGGCAGATGTGCCACAGGAGACTTTTTCCTCTCCGTCTCAGAAAAAAAGACAGATGCAAAGACCTTATTAGATCATCTCCTTAGTCTCCTAGCCAGGGAAAGATTGCTCCCTAAATAGATTCTACTTTACCTTACTTCAATGTGAAATGAGTCAAACCGAGGGACTTTCATATCTTCCCTTAGGAATGATCATCCCATGGTTTAATACTACATGCTTTCAGTTTTTCCTTCTCTTTGGTCTAATATGTCCTTTGCTTCACTTTAACCATTATTCCTGACAACATTATCTGGGACTACACTAAACCTTATTGCTCCTTCCTTAGTGTTTATTGCTTTCTGGGGCTTGAATGTACTTATCACATTCCCAGTCAGTAATGCTTTCAAACCCTAAAAATGTTGTGTTTCATGGCCACTACTCCATGAGATAGTTATTATTATCACCATTTTTAATATGTAAATTGAGACCTTAATGGATTAAGAAAATTATTTAAGAACACAGAGTTAGAAAGTAGTGGGCCTGAAATTTAAAACTGGATCTGCTTGATTCCAAAGCCCATCATAGTCCGTTCACAACACCAAAACAAGGCTCAAAATAGCTTATGAAAAAAATCTCATAAAATACTTCTCTAGTCACTTGATCAACCCTCAGGTCTAGCCCAAAATTCACTTGAAATTTTCATTCTGAAGTACATGAAAGGCAGTATGGTATATTACAAAAACTCCTGAGCTAGTCCTACACACACACACACACACACACACACTATAAGCACATATACACTGTGTGAGCCAGGTATTAATCTAAGTATTTTATGTATACTAACTCATTTTGTTATCTGCATTTCACAGATTGAGAAACTGAAGCAAGTGAAGTTATAGTAAGTAATAATTAAGGCCACCCAGCTATTAAGTAGCAGAATTAGAAATGTGCTGTTTTGTACAAGAGTGTTTAGGTGGTGCCACCTCAGGTTATAGATCATTGTCCAAAGCCTGAGGGCTCTTAAAGACTACAAAAGCCTCTACTTTTTTTGGTACAGGTATGATGGGTGGGTAATTCTGACTCTAGAGCCCATGGTCTCAACCACAATATTATCCCCTGCCAAACACCTTGGGTAACATTAGTCCCATTGGTCCTGTTACTTCTCAGGTGTTTACTTCCCCCATATACAAAATAAGTAAGTTGGACTAATACAAAGATCTGAAAACTGTGTTTAACTCCACAGAGGTATCTTAGGGGCCAGAGAAAATAAAGTGCAAGGTAGAGAAGGGGAGACCAACCAATAGTGCTCTACGTCCCCCAGGTTGCTTTCAAATCAGACCAGATCTGCTTTCATCTATTTTATATATTGGAGTTTCCCACCACAAAACAATGTTTGAAAATACATTTAAATGATGAAACAAATGGGTAGCAGAATGTTTAAGGGAATAGCAATCCCCTTTTCTTTTCTTTTAGTGCTCACCTGTATTTAGCTCTTGTATTTAATCCCTCACTAATGGCCATTTATTTTTATGCATTTTTGTTTGCTCCAAGACACTGCAAGCTGCATCTAGGTTTCCATGTGATTTCCTTAATGCCCTTTGCACTGCCATTATCTCTCTCTCTCATCAAGAAATCAGCTCTAACTTTCTGATTTTTAGCTTCAGCACCTTCCACACAGCTCCATATCAATTATCACTGAAGGACTGTGGAATTATTTGAACTCTTAGGGACATTATGTTATTTTTTTTTTTAGCTGAGCCATCCTGCTACCTGTTGGCAGCTCAGCGGCTGCTCAGCTCGGGCTGGACTCGAACCACTGTTGCTCAGAGCTCAAACTCTTGAGCGAGCTCTTAACCAACTGAGCCACTCGGCCGGCCCACATTATGTTATTTTTAGTGAGGTGAGCTGAAATTTTTATTAGGACAGGGACTTGAACGTTTTTGATACTCTGCTGTGTTACAGCCTGGACTTAAGTTGACATTTTTTATTACACTGAGATAATTCTGAGAACTAAGGATATGTTAAGTATAATCTAACATAAGATTAGACAAGAACACAGGGTACTAATTGAAATAATGTGAGGGAAGGGGAAGAAATAAAAGCTCTACATGAACTCTTTTGTCTCAAATTATACCTAAAGTCCAATATTGTATATTTCCTTCTCTCTGGCTGGTGAGATGAAAAGTTCCTCATATGTGTTGAAAGACAGAACTCAGCTCCATTTGGGATGTTTGTAAACCCTGTAACATTCAGAAAAGACATTATGTTAGCGTTTTCATGAATTATAGCCCTTTCTTGGAATAACTTCCATTAGGTCTAGTTACATTCCAATTTTCATGTAAACTTATGGAGGGAAAAAGATAACTCAATTTTGAAAACTGGTAATCATAATTTAATCTCAACAACAAAGTAGATTCACACAATAAATTTATGGTCTATCTGTATTTTACTTAATGGCATAATAATATGTTCCTTATCAGATGACTCCTTTGAAAGTTACAACATAACAAAAACAAAAACAGATGAATTTCTCTGAATCACAAAAATATGACTGATTTGATCATTTTGACTCACCTATCATAGCATGCTTAATATAACAAAACCACATTATGAAGTCATGGACAAGAAATATCATGAACCATTATTGTTTTTATGTCACATGTGGGATGATTAGACAGACAGCCTAAGTGAATGTGTGATACTTTTATGGGCTTTCTGATCACCAGGGTAACCTATTAGCGCTTATTTTTACTTCACATTCATTTAATCATTGGAACTTCACAATAATTTTTATTAAAGTTTATTGGGGTGACAATGGTTAGTAAAATTATATAGGTTTCAATTGTACAATTCTATAATATATCATCTATATATCACATTGTGTGTTCACCACCCAGAGTCAATTTTCCTTCCATCACCATATATTTGATCCCATTTACCCTCATCTACCACTCCCCACCCCCCTTACCCTCTGGTAACCACTAAACTATTGTCCATGTCTATGAGTTTTGTTTCTTTCTTTGTTTGTCTTGTTCCTTTGTTGCTTTCAATTTTATATCCCACATGTCAGTGAAATCATATGATTCTCAACTTTTTCTGTCTGACTTATTTCACTTAGCATAATAATCTCAAGATCCATTCATGTTGTTATAAATGGCACTATTTCATCTTTTCTTACAGCAGAATAGTACCATTGTGTATATATACCACATTTTCTTTATCCAGTCATCTATCGAAGGACACTTTGGTTGTTTCCATATCTTGGCCACCATAAATAAAGCTGCAATGAACATCGAAGCACATATATCTTTATGGATAAATGTTTTCAGATTTTTGGGTATGTACCCAGGAGAAGGCTTGCTGGGTCATAAGGAAAAAAGAGGATTTTATGAATTTGACCTCAAAGGCAAGGTAAATAATTTTTTAAATTAAATTTATTGGGGTAGCAATGGTTAGTAAAATTACATAGGATTCAAGTGTACAATTCTATAGTATACCATCTATATATCACATTGTGTGTTCACCACCCAGAGTGAATTCTCCTTCTATCACCACATATTTGACTCCCTTTACCCTCTTCTACCATTTTTCCTCCCTCCTTACCCTCTGGTTACCATTACACTGTTGTCTATGTCTATAAGTTTTTGTTTCTTTATTTGTTTGTCTTGTTCCTTTGTTGTTTTAAGTTTTATATCCCACATATCAGTGAAGTCATATGGTTCTCAACTTTTTCTGTCTGACTTATTTCGCTTAGCATAATAATCTCAAGATCCATCCATGTTGTCATCGCAAATGGCAGTATTTTGAGAATGCCTTGTTGAGACCTCACTCTGGTTCTGAGGGAAAAGAACTTTTTGTCCTACCCAAGTGATGAAGAAATGGGAAGCTTCAATGCCTCTTTATATTTTGACTTTTCTAGAGAAATATGAGAATTTTATTCTTACTCATGGAAAGACTGGTCATGTGATTTTTCACTCATTGCTTCCTTCCAAAATAGCTGCCTACCAGTCTCTCTTTCTGTAGTTCAGGGAAGGCACAAAAAAGAAAATGGAAATGAAGAGATAATGCTAAAAATTTGAAAAGAAGAAATTTCTACTGAGTTCCTCAGATCATGTGAAATAAATCTGTGAATCAGAGAAGCTATGACAGTTTGAGAAGTCAGACTTTTGTCTACTTCATTATACTTTAATGCTCAAATTTTTACTTTTTTGTTTTCTTCCACTTTTATTTTGTTTTTCATAATGTTACTTTGGACAATTATAGTATTTCTCAATTGTATTAAAGGTAACAAAGAAAAGGGATATTTCTGTGTCCAAAATTGTTCTGGGTAAATTGGAGAAGCAGTCTCTTTTGACAAAGGAGAAATTCTTTAAAGCCATACTCTACCATTTGGAGACTTCATTCCCATAATTCTTTTCTACTCCAACTTTGGAAAATTTTATTTTACATAATTAGAGGGAATATTCCTTTAGCAAATTCACCCAAAGCTGCTATTGGACACCAAAGGATTAAACTGCTTCTGCTTTCATTGATAGAAATTACTATATATTTCATTTTCAATGATATGCTGTTTAACCAATCTAATGTGTAAACCCTAATGTTTAATACTGATATAAGTTTTGTCCTCAGATTCACAAAAACTGTTGATATTATTACCCATAAGAAAGCATACTCTCCAGTTAAAGTTTGACCTGTAAAGAAGAGAAAAACCCAGAGAAAGGAGAATTTTGCCAAGTACTATAGGTCACACATTTTGGCTGGGAAGTTTTAGGACATAGTAACTTAGAAGACATTCATATTTTCCCCTCCTAATGCTTATGAGACCCATGTGTCCTCACATGCTTTGGCAGATTAAATTAAGTTTAGTTTGCCTAACATTTATTATTGTTAAAATGGAGTTAGTTTTACTAATACACAATACATAAAAATGCCCAGAATCTTGGCCCACAAGGATTTTCTCCTGAAAATACTCTTTTCTGTTCATTCTGAGTGGGCTGTGTACAAAGGGAGGCAAGTGGCCAGTGTGCCAAGAAAATGTGAACTGTGCTGGACTGCAGATTACATGAAGGGGAAGACAGAACTATCAGCTGAATATTAAAACCAGAAATTGGCTAAAGACCTGAGCAATTAGAGCTTTAGATCTTTCACCTTGGTTACTTTGTCAGAAGCAGACTTTGCTTTTATGTTATTTAGGCTTTTGAAAAGTTGGTTAGTAGTTTTTCATGAGCCCTCAGCTCAAAGTGTTTGACAACCTCTTTGTTATATTTGCAATGCTCTAAGTTGCATTATTTGCACTTACAACACAATATGTCCAAATTCTTTTTCCATATAAACTTGAAGTATTACAATTTTATAATGGATGTTTTAGGCCTACATTTTCCTGAGAACCTGTACCTGTTTCTTATCAGCATCTCTTAGAAAAATTCACACATACATGCCCTTTCTCCCCCAAATTAAAACAAATAGTCATTAAGAGAGCAGAAAATTGACTTGGCCAATGGATTTCATTTCAGTTGTCTTCCCTATGAATATTGATAAAGCCAAAATAGGTGCCAAATATTAGCCTAATAGGAAGAAAAAGGGATTTGGAGAAAACATACTTGAGTGTTCTGGATCTCACTTGGCTGGGTAACCCTTGGAAAAGTCACGTAACTGATTTAAGCTTTATTTACCTTAACTGTAAATTGCAGGAATAAAACTGATTTCATAGGGATGCTGTGAGGTTAAATGAGATAATTTATTTTTAAAAAATTCCTAGTACAATACACTGACATTGCTCAAAAATTAGTGGTTGTTCTACAACATAGATAATCCTTAAGGACATTATGCTAAGTGAAATAACCCAGTCACAAAAGATACTAACTGTATGATTCCACTTGTATGAGGTATCTAAATAGTAAAATTCATAGAAACATAACATAACATTGTGGTTTCCAAGGACTGGGGTGAGGGAGAAATGGGCAATTGTTTCTCAATGGGTATAGAGTTTCAGTTCTGCAAGATGAAAAAATTTTACAGTTCTGTTGCACAACATGTGAATATAGTTAAGATATGTTTTAAAATGCTTAGGATGGTAAATTTTATGTTATGTGTTTTTGCCACAATTAAAAATGAATAAATAAAAATTTAAAAATAATTACTTGTTACTAATTATGTCATGTAATTATAATTTTGACTCAAATTAACATATTGGTTCTGAGTCTGTTTTTCTACTCATATACATGGTTTAAATATACAACCCAGACCACTGGGAACATCCAATCATCTGATCAGCAGTTATGGTAGGAAAAGAATTAAATTACTATGCAAATTAAATGCTGAATCATGCATTAGTCACCGGTATCATCAAAGTCTAGCTAGTGTAAGTTTGTGGGAGCTGTGGAAAATTGGGGTGATTAGAAGGGTACTGTTTTTAAGCAATTATGGATTTCTATATAATTATGGATTATTAATTTTAACCTGTTGTGGGAACAGTGATAGCAAGGTTGACTAGCTGAAGATATTATCTAAAGCAGTATTGTCCAATAGAACATTCTGTGATGATGGAAAGTGTGATGATTAATTTTCTGTCCACTTGACTGGGCTAAGGGGCATCCAGGTGGTTGCTGAACATTGTTTCTGTGTGTTTCTGTGAGGGTATTTCTGGAAAAAATTAACATTTGAATCAGTAGACTGAGTAAGTAAGATCTGCCTTGACCAATGTGAGCAGGAAACATCCAATTTATTGAGGGCCTGAATAGAAAAAAAGGTAACGGATGGGCAAATTTTCTCTATTTTTTTTAAATTGAGATATAATTCCCATATAACATTATATTAGCTTCAAGTATATGAAATAATTGATATATGAATACACATATATGGCAAAATTATCACCACAGTAAGTATAGTTAACAACCATAACCATACGGTTACAATTTTTTTTCTTGTAATGAAATATTTTAAGATCTACTCCCTGAGCCACTTTAAAATATACAATAGAACATTATTAACTATATTCACCATGCTGCACATTACAACTACATGATTCAGTTATTTAATCACTGGAGGTTTGTACCTTTCAACCACCTTCACTCATTATGCCAATCCCCTCATCTCGGGACTCTGGAATCACCAATTTGTTGTGGTTTAGTATTAGTTTCAGGTGTACAAAAACAACACAGTGATTAGACATTTACATACCTCACAAAGTGATAACCCCAGTAAGTCTATTACCCATCTGACACTGTACATAGTTATTGCA